AGGTATTGTAGTTGGCAGGGAAGTGATTTGTTGGTATGTTTGTCATTTAACAAGTAGTATTCAATATTCATGTTTCTTTAAAACAGGAAATGGCCCGAGTTAGTCTCACGACACGAAAACGTAGGATTCTRCGATTGTTTCTGGAAGAAGCTATGAGCGCTATTGCTTGCTTTTTCATTACAGTTTGTTGCTTAGTAGCCAAACGTAGAAGGGATAGACCCCGTATCCAATATTCATGTTCAAATATGGATCGATCTAAAATATTGCGTAGGTATGCCTACGATAGTGACACCATGTGYATATCACAACTTAGGATGGATAGAAGGTCTTTTAAGAAGTTATGTGATATGCTTGAAAGATTAGGAGGATTACAAGCAACTAGGAATATGGATATCRATGAACAAGTTGCCATTTTCCTTCACATGGTTGCTCATAATGTTAAGAATAGGGTTGTCACATGYCGTTTTCATCGYTCGGGARAAACAATTAGTAGGTTGTTTACTCGAGTTTGCAATGCGGTTAATAGATTGCACCCMYATTTACTTAAGAAACYCGAACCTGTTCGTGAGGACTCTACTGATCGAARATGGAAATGGTTCAAGGTAAATACAATTAAAAGTTTTTTTGGCGTTCATGTAGTAAATTAAAAATGTGTAATGACTGTTTCTTTTTTGGTTCTAGAACTGTCTAGGTGCTTTAGATGGAACATACATAAAGTGCCTAGTGCCACTTGAAGACAAGCCTAGATACAGAACACGAAAGAATGATATCGCCACAAACACCAAAGCTAAATTCTGTGAACCAAACAGACAGATTCCAATTCCTTTAATAGATTCCATTCCAATTCTGTCAACCAAACAGGTGGTCAAACCTGACAACATTCCATTCCAATTCCTTCAAAGTCAAATTCCTTTGACAGATTCCATTCCATCCAAAAACATTCTGCGAACCAAACGCCACCTTAGGGTTTTCCACTTCATGATGGAACCTACCTACCTACCTACCTTTGTGTGGGTGGGAATGGAACATATTGTATTGATTTTTGATGATGTTAGATTAAACAGTATCCCGTAGCCATTATTAACCTATATTAATCCTTTTGCATAAAATTCAAATTATACCAGCATTAAGATTCTCAATCCTTAAGAGCAACAACAAATGAGAGTGTGTCATGTGTTCCTGAAATCCAAAAGGTATACATTGTGAATGTTTCATTATTCATTCATGGTGAATGTTCCATTACTCATTTACGATGAATGGGAACATGTGTTGCACATTGGTTTGTCCTACTTTGCAACTAAGGTTTTGTTTTGCTTTTGGTTAGAATCTTTGGACTTGTTTATATGCTTTTGGTTAAAACCTTTGAAGCTATTTATACTCTCTTGTTGATGTGTGTTTCTTTGTAAATCGACATATGCTCCAATGAAGAGGACCAAACTCATGGTAAATTTAGCTTTTAACTTTGATTATTCCATCAATCTTGTTCCATAAAACTCTGGTGACTAGCCCAGTTGAAGTTATGGAGTCGTGGACCGACCAAGTTAATCGATCTGTACATTTCTAATCATTGGGTAAAATATTGTGTGTGTTTTTTTTTTCCAAACAAGTGAAATACATCTTGTTTTATTCTAAGACTTGAAATAGGTACCAATATTTGCTTAAAATATGTACCATTATATGTAAACTTACTTAAACACATATAGTTAATAAGTATACCATAATTGTTAATTAAGATAAATAAGTTTAAAAATGGGATGATAATCCCCGTACACGCCGGGGACCGGGGCCGAGGCCGGGGGACGGAATTACAAACCGGGGTCGGGGATTACAAAACCCGCCCCATCCTCGCCCTGTTGCCATGACTATACATATACATATATATAGGTAGGTAGATATAGATATAGATATAGGTAGGATCATTTAAGAGAAAACTCAGTAATTTATGATAATCGTGAGATCCAATCTCAATCATAAATCAAAGATTAAATTAAGAAATTAATAATTTTAGTAATTTAAACTTAAAATATTAATTAAGAGTATTTTAAGGATTTTAAAAAGGGAATTTCATCAAAATGACCACAATACACATCATATTTTTAACAAAATAGCCATTTTTTCAGGAATTATCAAAACGACCATGAGGATCGCCCTCGGGGGGAATGTTTGACCATGGGGCGATTCACACCTTCTTTGACCAAAAAAGTACAAAAATAATTAAAAATATTAATTTGTGAGACTCACATGTATCTGATTTAGGAGACAAATATTGTTTGGCTTGAGAAGTGGGATCGCCCCCAACTAACCCCGGATCTCCCGGGGTGATCCAGCCATTGTGTTTGACTGTTCTTTCGTCTTTTAATATAAACCAATTTGACAATTAAATGGTGTTTTTAATAAACAGGGACGATTTTGATTGGTTTTTTAACTGTTTTAAGACCAAATGTCGTGGTTTTACTCTATAAAATCAAACACTTCTACTCTCACGACCCGTAACCCATAAACACAATCTACCATGACAATCTATAAAACAATATGAAATTACGTGAAGATTTATAATTTTTACTACTTTTTTGAAACACATAAATTAACTAACGAATGTTTTTATATTTATTTATAAGAATTATATTTCTTATAACTACTGAATGTTAATATTTTATAATAATTGTTGATACGGAAAAAATTATTTGTATCGGATTTGAGAGACAAAAATCATATATTATATCTGAAAAATGTCATATTTTTTAAAACCACGTTCTTTGACCGCTATTTCGTCATTCAGTGGCCTATGGTTTGACGCCTATTTGATTATCTATTTTGTCTTATTACATAACAGTTTATATAAATAGGCGGTCGGAGGGGACCATTATCACCATCCCCACCGACATCCACCTCAAGAAACAGTCCCCTCTACCATTCCGATCACGATCGACCATCGACCACCGATTACCTTCCACCGTGCATCTCCGCCACCGACCACCATTTGCCGCCAACTGTCACCGTCCATCTCCGCCACCGACCACCTACCAGGCTAGCACCGTGTGACGCCACCTCCCACTGTGTGCCACCACCAACCACCGTGTGCCGCCACCTACCACCGTCTCCTGCCACCTATCACTATAGAACAACCGGGAAAAAAATCGCAATATTTTTAATTTAACTTAAAAATCTATTTTTTTTTGTCTAGTATTTAGTTTAATACTTTATTACATTTTTTTCTAAGATTAATTTTGTATAGTCTCTAACATTTAATTTTTGAATTTATTTTCGAGAGGTGTTCTACCAGTCTTTACTGACTTTGAGGGCCCAGACCTCAATAATTAAAAAAATAAACGAAATATTAGCAAATAATGAAATAAGGTTAAACATGTTAGGAAATACATGTTTCAGTACATGGTTAAATATATCTAACCATTATTCAGACTCTTCGTTAATTAATTGGATGGTGCAATGTGAGACTAGATCAGGTAAAAAGTGTTTGGACCATATGAGTTTGCACCACTACCGCCACGGAAGAAAGTGTTTGGATTTCCACCACTACCACCATCCAATTAATTAACGAAGAGTCTGAATAATGGTTAGATATATTTAACCATATACTGAAACATGTATTTCCTAACATGTTTAACCTTATTATCTTTATAAAATGTTATATTAAAAACCAAAAATAAATTATTTAACCATRTACTGAAACATGTATTTCCTAACATGTTTAACCTTATTATCTTTAACATAGCTCTCTCGAGCCTACTTATTATCATTAAGTTCTAACAAAATACTTAATTATTATCTTTATAAAATGTTATATTAAAAACCAAAAATAAATTATTTCATTATTAAACTTAAACTGAATTATAATTAAAAAAATTACATAAAAAATAATAACTTTTAAATAGTTGATTTGATATTACCGTAAAAAAAATTCAAATTTATATTTTATTTAAAAATAAAATCATTATTGCTTTCTTAAAAACACATAAAATCGTATTATAACATCGACGAAGACAAAAAATGAAATAGAACATTAAAATCGAGATGTATCTCACTGCATTGCACGAGTACCCTTCTAGTTTTAAAAATATTTTTAAATATCTTAAATAAGTGTTTTACATTGTATCTCATGGTTATCATAAAATACGTAGTTCTCATTTCATTAAAGATACATATAATATGAATACACACACTAGTTGTCTATTCACACTAGAATGTAAGATTAAAATCTGCACCCCATGTAATGTAATGTAATGCAAAGGAATGTAAAACTCAAATGAATATAAATAAGAATGCATATAACAAATAAATAAAATACATTTAGTTAGGTTCATTTGGCATACATCATCCTCTTGATTGCTAGCCAAATCACCAAACATTCTACCATCATAAACATGATTTCATATATGGTGCTTCAGCCCTATCTTTAACAAAAAGTAATTACCTGTGATAGGAATCCCTCCAAACCGAGGAGTTGAGAGATGGCCGATGGGAGCGAGATATTTGGTCTCTTTCATCCGCGTATCAGCCATATCAAGAGATTTTAGGGGGCGTCACTTCAGATCATAGCAGAAGAGGCGTGATGGTGCTGTAGAAACTGTACCAACGGCATTACAATATGGAATCTTGAATTATGATGTGCATAAGTTAATGATACATTATGCATGATAAATTATGTTCAAGACTTTAAACTAAATGCTTTATAATATAAACATTCTCTTGTAACCGGGTGAGGTCCACAATAGGGAAAGGAAACCGAGAATTCCAATAATAAATAGAGATTTTAATCGAGTAATTTTAAGCAGAAGCTAAGAATGAAATATGTAGCCTTATAAAGCAGAACCCATTCCACCCACCACCATGCTGGTCAGAAACACCATAGATGAAATCAGCAGTAGTTGAGAAACTCACACTTGTTCTGCTGCTGCTGCTGCTGCTGCTGCTGCTGCTGCTGATGCAGACATTAGTAGCAAACCCAGTATTATATGGTTCAACGTCAAACTCAATTTGTAGGATAACATTTCAATTATTTACCAAGATAACAAAAAGCTTCAAAATTTAACCACAAAGGCACCAGATAAAAGAGGTCAACATATATAAAGATCAATAATTTTTATTCTTCTACAAAGAAGTATGGAGCAACTAATCCAACAGTGAACCAATTCATTGGAGAGAGATTAGTAAGCATGTATTGCACCTGATTGGAGGTATCATTGGCCTTGGCCTTACTCATGATAAGATCTTCTCTTTTCATTTTTCTCTAACTACTTCCTCAAGAAATCATCTCTTCCATATTGAAATCAAAGACTCCAACCAAATAACCCGTCTCTCAGCATTGTCATCAAGGTTCTTCTGATCCCCTAAAATAAACCCTTCATTTTTCTTCAGATAGTTTTACCAAACAAACCATCTAAAAAAGCTGTCACCCGTGTGTGTGGTTGGATTTCTAAGACATAACAAAGTTTATTACAGCCGCATTAGGGTTTACAAGAGCGCTCCATAGTTCAAACAACGAAGAATCTTAAGCATCCGTATGATCATACAAATTACACACATGTACAGACAAGTGTGTGGTTTTTCTTTAAACTGCCAACATCCTCTTATCGTAGCTAGCAGCTAGGGTTTAAAATAGAAATAAGAACCTCAAAAACCTCTATGTTTGTGGGTGAATTTACTGTTACATGGAAGAACTAATATCAAAGTTAAAGTGGATAAATCAACATCAATTCTCCATGTAGATAAATAACTAAAAGTCAAGCAGATTGTTCAAATCAAAAAAATTAAACAAAAAGAGAAAAACATACCGGGTGTGGGTTGATCCAGAAACAAATTGAAACCGATATTTCATTCAATTTCAATTTAGGGATAGGGATGGCTTGAGAGACTGGCTCGAGTTTGTTGCTGCTGATGGTTACTCAATTGGATTCCTTGATTTGGATCAGATTCTGCTTTCCCGCTGTTACTGTTGGATTCAGTTTATAACGTTAGCACCTTCTACCTTATTCGATGCGTATATGGATATCGTAAACCCTACGATTGTTCGTTACTGATGCTGTAAAAAATGAAAAAAGTACAAAAACCAAAAAAGAATGAGAGAACTCCCAACAGAAAATCATTCTCCTTTTTGCTGTTACAGGATGCTGTCCCTCTCAGTCTTCTGGAACTCAAAGATGCCTCTGTTCTTGAACACAGTCGCCGCTTCTCTTTAAGCCTGCCTGTTTCAGGGATGGGTGAGAGTTACGGTTTGAGAGTTTGTAGGAGATTTGAATTTCATTATCTTAGCGAATAGCGATAGGTTGGAGAGATATCAGGAAACTAAGATTTCCAAAGCTTTGACAGTTGTACATGGGCATCAAGAACTTTAAACTTGAATTTTAAGTAATGTGCATTAAAAAGCAATACCTTATGCACCAAAATCTGTTTTTAAGACTTTTGTATATAACACACACACACATATATATACATATATATCTTTGCAGATGTATGAAAGTAAATATCGGATATTAGTTGGTCACCAACACAAATCAAAGCTAAAGCCTCCTATTCAGGTATAATGAATGAAAAAGTTAGAACACATGAAGGGGGAGTAGAATTGACTTCATCTAACCTTTTTAATGAATTCATCAAATGTGCAGAATATTGCAAACATGTATGCTTTACAAAAAATGATAGTATAACAGAGTGACCATACCTGATACACACACATGGTCTGTTATACTTCACTAAACCCCTCAGAAAGTATGCTCATAATCTCATCTTCTGTGTTGCCATTTTCATCACTAGATGCTTCTTCACAACCACCAGAGTTGACCAACAACCGATGGGTCGTAGCATCTGGTACCCAACCTTTTTCCAACATCACATCCAATAGCCAACCGGCTTCATGTTTATACCCTTCTTTCCAAAACCCGTTTATCAGTATGTTGCAAATTGTAGGATTAACCACGTCATGATCAGAAAACAACTTCTTGATTGTAGGCAGAACCATATGCAAACGAAAATCTTGTGCCAAACAAGAAATGGAATTGTGTAATATTTCTGTATCGGGCACAAACCCTTCATTGACCATTAGATCAAGAAACAAGGCGCATTCCGTCGCTCGATGATGCTCACTCATGCTCTTTATGAGCTCGTTATAAGATTCAGAATCTTGCGGACAACCCTCTACTACCATTCTTGCAACAATAACCAGAAGACCGTTTCCTTTGGATAACTTAGATAAGCTCTTCATAATAATACCGTAATCTGAATTAGAACAAGATTTACCAGAATAATAAGCAAGTGGTGGCAAGTGTATTAATTCGTCTACTTTCCCAATTAGATACAATCCCCTGATCAACATACTGAACGAAGATGCACATAAACTGCATTTGTTAAATGACATGTAACAGAATACCTCAAAAGCTTCTTGAATCTTGTCCAGTTTGCAAAGACTTCTGATTAGAGTAGCGTAACATGCAGAATCTACAATCCAGTGTTCCTCACAAACATGATGAAACAATTTGAGAGCACCATCAAGTTCATTTGATTTACATTTTCCAACAATAAGAGCAGAGTAAGTGTCAGAATCAGGCATAGAAGTAGAAACAATCATCCTCTTGAGAACTCCATATATTATATCACATCTTCCATTCTCACTAAGGTACCTGATAAAAATGTTCCAGGAAGAAGGGTTTGTTATGTTCTTTTCTACCATTTTCTGAAATAACTGAATCACCTCAACAAAATTGCCGGCTTGGCAGTAACCTCTAAGAAGAGCGCTATACGAATTAACTTCCATAACTTGTTTATCTTCAAGAAGCTTTTTAGCCTCATTCAACTTGTTTAACATACAAAACCCATCTACCAAATCAACAAATACACAATCTGATGGCTTCAAATCAATATGTATCATCTCATTCAGAAGATTTACTGCATCATCCATGCATAGGCTCTTAGAGAAATACTGTATCAAAACCTCATACACTGGAAAATCTGGAACAACCTTAAAAGTTTTCATCTTCTCAAACAATTTCAGCCCGACCTCCGGTTTATTCATCCTAAACAATAAAGGTAATATGTGGGAGAAAAATTGTGATTCAGGCTCACACTCAGTTTCCAGAATTTCATTTAAAACAACAAGAGCTTCATCCAACAGATTCTTACCAATAAGACCACTTACCATTATCTCAAAGGTTCGGCTATTTGGGCAACATCCCTTTTTCTGCATTCGTTTATATTGATCTAGCACTGCATCAATCCGATCTGCTTCAAACAAAGCCTCCAAGAGATAATTCAAGGTTTCAGTCGTTGGAACAATACTTGCTTTCACCATCTCTTTATATACAAATAAAATACACTCAAGTCCCTTCTTCTCCTTCACTAGAGCACCTAACAAACGATTAACCAAAGCAATTGAAAGCTTATAGCTGGATGAGTTGAGCACAAAAAGAACCCTCAAAGCTTCATCGAGTCTATGATACCTAATAAAGCTGTCGAGCAATCCTAAGAGAACTTGTTCTGATGCTGAAAATCCACCTTTCACCATTTCATTACAAAATCCCTCCACTTCTTCAACTCTACAAGCCATTCCTAACCTCATGATTATGTGGGAATAGGTGTCAGTGGTGTGTCGAAACCGGTTTTGAAGGGAAGCCCATTTAAATAATCGCAATGAAGCATTCAAATTGTGGGTCGAAGACAATACATGCATTAGGGTTTCTGGGTGAAGCTTGTTCTTCAAGGACTGAACCTTTGCCTCAAATTCTGAGGAATCGGGAGGGTTTTGATCATCTTGAGGGTTTGTTTGGATGCAATTGGCACCGGATACAGAAGAAACACATGCACTTATGGGAGCCCTGATGAAAATTCTCCCAGAAAGTCTCAGACATGGGACCTTGGCAATCATGGAACGCGCTCATGAGTAGTTGCCGCCGGTGCAGATCATCAAATCACATACAGTGTATCAATGTATTATCGAAAGATTGATGGCTGAATTGTGAACTGACTGGAATAAACCCTAAATCTGCAAGAACATGTTTGAGAGCGTTGAAAAAAAAAAAAAAAAAATGCAAAAATAACAATCTACTTTCATAAATTTTTTTATTATAATAATATATTTTTAATTTTTCTTATTATAGCAATGTACTTTCAAACTATTTTTTATTAAGACATTATACTTTGAAAAATTTATTTATTATAACATTGGATAACCTTTTGATTTAAATTTACCTATTATACTAGGTTTCCATACCACCTCATTGTCCATGTAAGATGTCCACATGTACTATAGTGATGTGACTTTCTTACTACATCATTGTATTTTTAAAATTATTTTATTATAGCATCTACTAGTTCTTATTAAACACTGTATTTTTAATTTTAATATTTAGATATGTTACATTTTATTTAAAAAATGAATTAAAAAAAATTCTAATAAATATTTTTAATATATCAATATCAATAAAACTAGTAGAACACAACTTATCTCGCTAACATTTTTAAAAAAATATGTGTTTTTTGAAAAAAGAAAAATAAGAATTGTTCTTTTTTTACCCAAAAATATTATCTTTTAAAGAATATATTATATTTGTTCAAAAACTTTTTACTTGACGAATAAATAAATTAAATTAATTAGACTTTTTTGAATTATTTATTAATATAACAATATTAAAAAATTCTAGATAACAATTTATTTCGTTAATATTTTAAAAAGAACTTTAAAATATATGTATTTATTTAAACAACATAAAATAAGAAAAGTTACATTTTTTACAAACAAAATATATCTCGAAAATAATGTTTCATATTTATTTAATAAATATTTTACTCTAAGAATATTTAATTTGAATGCAACTTAATAAGAAAAAGTAAAAAAAAATGTTTTTTAGATCATAGCAATAAAAAAATAAAAATCACTAATAATAATTTGACATAAGTTTTTATTTTTATTTTAGTTAAGTCATCAAAATGATGTGGCATCCACATCACCTCATTAAAGCCACACAAGCAAAAAAGTTAAAGGGTTAATCGGTTTAAAAGATAACAGGTTACCCATTGCTATTATGGGTAGATTTTTTAAAGTACAATGTCTTAATAAAAAATAATTTGAAAATATATTGCTGTAATAAAGAAAAACAAAAGTAGAATGTTATAATAAGAAATTTTATGAAAGTATGTTGTTATTTCATGCATTTAACACAAAAAAATAACCCAAATTACAATTAAGCCCCCGAAGATTAGGGATGGGAAATGAGGCGGGGTTCGTCATCGCGTTCCTGTCCAATTCTCCCGCACCGTCTCGTCCCCGTCAGGGTCAAGGTATAGGGGCAAGATGAATGCAAATCTACTGTATAAGCCCCCAAATTAAAAAAATAAAAATGCAAACATATATAGGGTATTGACCATTTAAAGTAAATTTTGTAAATCATATTTAGATTTTGGAATAAATCATTAATGTAAGGTTTTATTTTATTCTTCACAGTTGGAAACCGTCACACAAAAACCTTGCGCCTTCAGGAACTCAATTGCACTTGCCAAATCTACCCATGACAGCTTCTAACCCCTGTTGTGGTAATTTATACATATCAAACAGAAAAAAAAGACAACAATGCTTCTAGCCAGAGGTTTCAAAAGTCATGTTCATGACTCTTACCAGGTAAGATTCTCGGTCCTTACCACACTCACCTGTTATGCGCATACCTTGTTAGCTTGGTAATTGGACCCTAATACTAAATGTTCTTTTATGAATCGGTGAAATATAATTTCACTATACAACTATATTGCCAATTGTATCTAAAATAGAAGTGAGATATATGTGAAGGGTCCAGAAAGTTTGGATTGATGTCAAGTGAACAACATATGTTTGCTTTATAATTTATGAAATAAGAACCAAATGAATCAAATTCAAGAGGAGAAAAACTTGATATGGTTTTACCTTTTGCAAAAGCATATTAAACACAGCAAAATCAAAAGCAGAAAATCTAACGGATTTAAGGCAATCAGTAATTTGCACAAGAATTTGGAGAAGAAACAAACATAAGCTTTCATGGATGACAGAGACATTGTGTTCATGATGATAGAGATCCAGCATGTTATCATATAAACAATTAGCTCCCCATCAGCACAAAGACATTGTATTCCATATTTAACATCATAACATTAAAAAAGAAATAGCAAACACAGATCATACATAATAATAACAACAACAACAACAAAACACAATTACACAAGCAGATTATGAGGGGTTTTGAAGAGGAAACAAAAAGAGGGGGGAGAAACCGAAGAAGAATAGTAGAAAATAAGATAGGGTTTTACCAGTTTTGAGGATAGAGTTATGATATGTGGAGAGCACAAGACAACAACTCATCAGTAGGAGCGGAATTCACAGTGACAACACCGTATAAAGAAATCGCTAGACTACCAGACAAGATTGGGCGTAGGACTGAAGGGGAAAGAGAAGAATTGCTATCGGTTTTAGGTTTTCTAAATAAATCTTTCGGTTAAATGAAACAAAAGTCTCAAAATTTTCAATTTAATATTCAGTGTAACATTTTATCATGGAGGATTTCAATTTCACTGTCTACTTCTTTGTAATTATTTCGTAAACAGATATTCATGTCATAAATTGTCACAAGATTGTAAGTATCATGCTGATATGACATGAGGGTACCTTCGGCATAACTACGTATTCCTAGTCATATGTATGATGTCTTGTAAGTTGACTGACTTGACATAGGGTGCCAGTAGATTAACAGTCAAAATCAGTATAGAATAGAAAATATCGAAACTTTAGTTGTATCAAATGAAAAAAAAATCTTTATTATAAAAGTCTACTTTATGATCAATCTTCTAACAATACATGGCAAAATCAAATGAACATGTAAGAACACTTTGAAGGAGATGAGAAGAAAAGTCAATCTGGTCAAACCTTCTATTTACTCTCAATGTTGTACGTAATTTTACAAATGAAGCTCCCTTTCTTAAATTCACTAATGACAAAAACTATATATATGGTCAAACTACAACCCTTCTAGTCAAAGTCAAACTACACAAGGAAAGTTAAACACGATGTCTAAACAATTATAGATATTTATATACTTTCAAGATGAATACAATTTAACACTGAAATTCAGACCCAACATTCTCCCCATTTGTATTCATGCTTGAAAGAATTTGCGCACTTTGAATCTCGTTTGAACTTTGTCACTTTAAGCACATTATGACTTCTTCAAAAACAATCTTTACTTTGAAATCTTCAGATGATCGTTAGTTGAGAAAAATCTTCTAACATTCTCCCCCTCGAATGTAGAACAACAACGATCTTCTCTTTTGACAATGTAGAACAATATCAGCAACAATCTTTAGAAACGATCTTCAAGATACGATCTTCAAATAATCTTCTTCAGAAAACAAATTACAAACACTCTTTTCAAAAACGAATTTCTTCAGACAAAAATTCACAAATATTCTCCCCCAACATTAAACATTCTCTTTGATGATAAATTTCTATAAGTAAACTTTTGAAAAGAAGATCTTCTCATTCAAAAACTCTAAGACATTGTAGCACAATAATAATCTTCTGTAATAATCTCCAGTCATATTCCTTTGAGTCTTTTGCTGACCTTTGATGTTACATCTCCTTGATCTTTACAACATACTCCCCTTATATCATTCAGAATCAATCATTTCATGCATTATTACATATTCCCCCTTATGATGAAATAAGAATCATTAACATCATACATTAGAATGAATGAAATATTCAGCGAAAACCGTCAAATCATGAAATTGTAAGTAGATTTTTACAAATCCACTTGTATAATATTTTCAGATTAAGAGAATGGAAAAATAACAACCAATTTCAATCTTATAAAAAGTTGGTCTGTGAATATAACAGATATATTCAGTACAACGAATGTAATTCATATACAAGATTTTATGAGATTCATCTCACCAGGTCTTCCATTCAATCATTAATATCTTATAAAAGTATATCTATGAATGTTTCGGCAAAATAACATATAATTTGCAAAATCTGAGTAGTGTAGAAAGATAAAGCAACATATGCTTCTGTTTAGGCTCAAAAAGATAAATCGTGTGGACTACACAAATTTATCCGACTCAATTAGTGAAACCACATCAGATCACAAACTGATTATCTCTATCTTCAGTTTTATCTTCGATATCACTGAAGGTTCTTTTGTGTGAGTTTTGTCTTCTTGAATAATACTTGTTTCTTGAGAGATACAATATTTGTTGACAGACTCAGTGATGATCACTGAAACTAAATAAAGAGAAAATACTTTTCGTTAGATAAAAAATGATCATCATTAAATCACTGAGAGAGATGATCAACAATTTGAAATTAAAATGATTACTTGGCTAAAGTATGCATTCGATTCATATTTTGTGAAAAAATCGATATAAAAATAAAATAAAATTAAATATATTTATGAATAAATAGGAAGATGATAGAGGTTTGAATTGTATAATAAGATTTGAGTAGTTAAAATTTTGAATTATAACTTTGTCCATTTATTTAAAATATTCATTAAAACCAAATATCACATTGTTTTCATATAAACTGTATCATCACGTAACGTACGATGTCGAACATTGGTTATCATAAGAGCGAAGGTAGTACACCTGGTCTACCTTATTGTCTACAATGTTGGTTCCTCCCTTGTTTTCATCCTCTCCAAATGTCATATTCTCTTGCGAAAGGCAAAAGAAAAAACTCAAATTTCTATTTTCTTCCCATGCATCGATATCATGATGGAAGCCACTGAACTTTTATCTCCTTACTCTCAAACCTCTATTTATTCACGTACCTGAGATAAATCTCGATTTTAATGTTTTGTCTTATTTTTTATTTCTAACGATGTTATAAAACGGTTTTATGTGGTTTTGGAAAATCGATAACTTGAAGATATCTTAAAATTTTGAAATAAATATATAGATATTAGT